CTCTCTTTCTCTCTCTCTCTCTCTCTCTCTCTCTCTCTCTCTCTCTCTCCTCTCTCTCTTCCTCTCTCTCTCTCTCTCTCATCTCTCTCTCTCCTCTCTCTCTCCTCTCCCTCTCTCTCTCTCCTCTCTCTCTCTCTCTCTCTCTCTCTCTCTCTCTCTCTCTCTCCTCTCTCTCTCTCTCTCCTCTCTCCTCCTCTCTCTCTCTCCTCTCTCTCTCTCCTCTCCTCTCTCTCCTCTCTCTCCTCTCTCTCTCCTCCTCTCTTCCTCCCCTCTCCTCCCCTCTCTCTCCTCTCGCTCTCTCCCTCTCTCTCTCTTCTTCTCTCAACACGGTTAACACGGTTGCTCCATCACTGACCTGCACCAGGGCGCAGCCGGCGCCATCGCGACCTTACCATAGTTTACCACGGGCTTTACTTTCTGACCCGCACCAGGGTGCAGCCGGCACCACCCCGACCTTACGTGGGTTTAACACGGTTGCTCCACCACTGACCTGCACCAGGCGCAGCCGGTGCCCTGGCTCTGACGTGGACGTGACCTGCAGCAGCGTGATGTCACGAGTTTGCATCAGTAGCTGATTGTCCGCCGTCACGCTGATGATGTCGTTCAGCGAGCTGTCATCAGAGACGTGTACTCGCAGGTCGGCGCTGCTGAGGCGAGGCAGGTCGGCCGAGAAGACGGCCAGTGCCTCCAGCGCCAGCACCGCATGCTGTCACGGCCGTCCGCCAAGTGAGCAGCGCACAGGACATTGTAGAACCCATTCGATGAGAGTGGGTCGGACTCAGGGGTACAACAGACCCCTCAGAGGGTAATGAGCAGAACACATGGATATGACAGTCCCCTCCCTGGGAGTGAGCAAGACACACAGGTACGGCAGAACACTCCGAGGGGTGAACAAGCCATACACATACAATGGACTCCTCCGTGGGGAGTGAACAAACCACACAGCTACGACAGGCCCCTCCGTGGGGGGTGAGCAGGATACACAGGGGTATGAGGTAGGAGTACACGGGGAGGGGTATGCATGATACACATGTACGGCAGGCCCCTCCGTCGGTAGTGAACAGGACAAACAGGTACAACAGGCCCTTCTGAGGGGGGGACTAGCAAGCCACACATGTACGACAGACAGCAGGCAATGTGTGGCAGTGTCGTGACCAGCTAGTCCGGCAGACACGTGACGTCCACCCCAGTGATTTCTATGACCTGCGTGGACACGAAGCCGCCGCGGACTGTTGCACTGCTGGGTGATCCAGCGCACGGCACCCAGCGCGTCGCTGAAGTGTTCGCTGCTGTCGTCACCGGCTTTCTCCACCAGCTTCATCGTCAGGATGTTATAGGCACCCATCTCTACGCTGAGCGCCCGATTCTCGCCAGACCCTGGTGACATACGCCACGATAAGGTTTTGAAAGTACGCTGGTCAACCGCTGTTCAGGATAGACCAGCAATTGAGGAAGGTGTGTTCAGTACATTAGATTCAGTGAAATGCAGAAAATGGTGTCACATTTCATATGTGCTCACTGTAGAGTTCCATCAAAACACACGAAAGAGTACAGAACACACACAACTGTGCACACTCAGCCTTCACCAACGCATTCTGCCAAGCATACTATGAGCAGTTGTCAAAGCACCACAGCTATCACAAGCTGATCAACTAGCGTTCGGACGTTCACAGCACCACTCCCTCCAGCGAGTGTTACTGTTGTGCTGGTGCGGCGGGATGACTCTCACCTTCGTTGCGCCAGTACACCAGGCCCTCATCCCTGGTGGCGCGGCTCTTGAGCTCTGTCAGACCAAACCGCGCCTCGTCCAGGCGGCCGGCCACGGCGCGCGCGTGCGTCAGCAGCGTCAGCGTGTACAGGTCCTGCAGTACAGGAGCTGATGTCCTGGTGAAGGCACATGGCGGCTGATGAGCGGCGGCCAACATGACATTCCTCGAACGGTGAGCGATGGCTGACATGGCATTCCTCGGACGGTGAGCGTTGGCTGACTTGGCTTTCCACGGACGGTGAGCCGTTGCTGACATGGTATTCCACGGACGGTGAGCGGTGGCTGACATGGCATTCCTCGGACGGTGAGCGGTGGCTGACTTGGCTTTCCACGGACGATGAGCCGTTGCTGACATGGTATTCCTCGGACGGTGAGCGGTGACTGACATGACATTCCTCGGACGGTGAGCGGTGGCTGACATGGCATTCCTCGGACGGTGAGCGTTAGCTGACGTGGCTTTCCACGGACGGTGAGCGGTGGCTGACATGGCATTCCTCGGACGGTGAGCGTTGGCTGACATGACATTCCTCGGACGGTGAGCCGTTGCTGACATGGCATTCCACGGACGGTGAGCGGTGGCTGACATGGCATTCCACGGACGGTGAGCGGCGGTGAATACAGTCCCAGAGGTAGCTAACCCACGGACGGTGAGCGACGGCCAGCACGACCCCGGCGGTAGCTAACCCACGGACGGTGAGCGGTGTCCAACACGGCCTCAGGGGTAGCTATCCTACAGCGCTAAGTCGCTCACGTCTATGTGCATACAAAGGCAACAGGTGTAATAAGAGCTACTGGAATGTGTTCCTGCACACGGCGGTAGACATGAAAGATCAGCCTTTTGGTGAGCTGTTTAACCCAATTTTGTGCTGTTTAATCGGACGTCTCGCTACACACTGCGGTATGGTATAGTGCGAGCGTACATCGGGAACACAACCACAACCAGACACCGCCAGAGAACGGGGGGGAGGGGGGGGGGGGCGGAGGCAGGCTGCCCTTCTTCCCCACTGTAAGCAACGCATGTTTTACTAAGCACCATAGAGGACTCCTTTATTTATATTATGGCAAGCACTCAGCGAGCTCCGACCCTACCCACACACCCCTCCGTATTGCAGAATTTCTGGCTGTGCCCCTGACTGCAACGGTGCACGTTTGTTTCATCTATGGATCATTTTATCGATTTCTGCACATAAGGTCCGCTTCTGACACATTTTTGTCTGGTATTCTGTTGTATGGTGAGGTAAAAGGGAGCGAGTGATATTGTTACAGAAGGCAAAAGCGATTATTACTTCGGCCACAACAAAATTTCCTGATAAACTTCATGTAACAGTCGTTCTCGGCTGCTTTTATGTTCGTCCTGCGGACCCAGCAGGTCTCTGACGACGGCGATCTGAGCCCGCTCGGAGTCGGGCACCAGGTCGGCCGGCAGAAGCAGCGGCCAGTCAACCTCCCGCCTATTCGGTCCGCCCGACAGGTCGGCACCCTCCGCTGCCGGCGTACGGGTCGGGTCAGGGAAGCGGTACCCAAACAGGGCGAGCCCTACTGCGGCACAGGACACGTCCGTAGCCATGCGGCGGGACGATGAAAGCCGCGTCGCGATCAAGGAAACAACGCCAACACACGGCTGAGCGTACGTGCGTCCCAACACTGCCAGCAACGCCGCGCCCTCCAAACCGTCACTAGCCTGCAGCTACACCGGCACCGGCCTTAGTCGTCCCGTTAACATCCGCTTTGGCAGCGCACTCACGGCTGATGCACATGAAGAAGGAGTGGATGACTTCACGCTCGAAGCCCTCCGGCTCCACCAGAATCGGCCTGGTCACGGCGTCCCTGTCCAAATGGTAATCGCGTTGGCTGCATGCATCCACGGCAAAATGGGATATCGGTTGAGAGTAGTCACGCCTTCATATTTCATTGGATCAAAAAATGAAGGCATTTTGATTTTTTCAGCAAATATATGTATGTCATTACAGGACAGAAACGTGCATGCGATAGGAAACCCTACCGGTTCATTTGCAACTCTTAACATCCCACGCAAACCAGGGCGTCTGGGCTCGTGTCTCGGTTACGCACATCTGCCGTGTTTAAAGCTGACTCACACGGCGTGTGCCACGCTCCGTACTCCGGCAACGTGGAGCGCCACGCACCTGAAGTAGGGCACCACCCCTGACCCACACTCGGCGGAGAAGACGGAGTACACTTCAGCCACCACGGTGATGTTAACGTCGCCGAGCTGGCCGGGCCGCAGCCGGTACGGCACGACCTCGGCCACGCCGGTCGACACGCACGAGGTCACCACCGGCGCCGAGAGCGTCTCGAACTCGTCCGACGCCACCAGTGTCAGCTTGACCTGCGGCCACAGGCGCCGGTGCATGTTTAGCGTCCACAGGGCCAGTGGGATATCGCGTGGAGCCAGTAGTGTCCGAGCGGACAGCTGGTAAAGCTAGCGTTGGATTCAGTCTTCCCCAGCATGTGGCGTATGGTGACGCCGAGCACCGACAGAGATAACACGAGCGAGCAAGATAACACGAGCGGAACAGAGCGCTCAGGAGAGCAACGAGGACCCACCGGCAGCGCCTCTTTGTTGTAGTTGAGCACCGAGACCTTGAGCACTAACGTCTCGCCGCGTTTCACCGAGTAGGGCAGCGCGTAGCTGACGAAGAACGGCTGGAAGCTGGTGAGGGAGGCCGACGGCGCCACGCCAAGGCCGGCCGTCTCTGAGCTGCACACGGCTCCGCCTACCCACTCGGTGATGGTGTCCGGCACCTTCTGGGTCAGCGTCACCGAGCCGTCGTTCCTGCCCGGTGCGGAGGTGGCCGGCTGTGACACTGGCCAGGCGGCCGAGGAACGGCACCGAATTGTGGCTTGATGGTGTAACTGTCCTAGTTCCTGCATGTGGCATGGTGGGTTTAAATGTGAACATGACTAACGGCACGGAATCATGACTTGGTGGTGTAGCTGTCCAGTTCCTGCATGTGAGGAGCGGCACGGAATCGTGACTTGATGGTGTGGCTGTTCTAGTTCCTGCATGTGGCATGGCGAGTTCTAATCTGTATAGGCACGGAATCGTGACGTGATGGTGCAATTCTGTCCTAGTTCCTGGATGCGACATGGTGAGTTATAATGTCGAAAACGACCAACGCTTGAGGTATAAGAATGTGTTGGGTGAAGGGGAATATCAAGAACTTGGTGCTCTTTATGATGATAGTGCTTAAAATTACGACTTATTATCTATCATGTGTGATCTGCCCACGCTCATGATCTATACTAGTTAGTGCATATTTCTGGATACATTTTGAGGACAAAAACGCATCATGCCCCTTTCTTAAAAACAAAATTATGATTTTGTTTTGTTTACATGATCGTGTAAGCTGTTGACGGTTTCAACTAATAGGTTAATGTGCATCCAACATACTACTGGCTGGTTACATGTACATGTGAACATACTCAAACGACATGAAACGATAGGTAGCCAAGACAGCAAACCCATGAAAGCTTCATAGTACGAGGATCAACGGCTCAAGTCCACATCCAACGCAGCCTCGTCACAGTCGGTGCGTCCATGTTCGTCCACTGACCCGACCGTATGGAGATCGAACAGCCACGTCTCGGGGAAGTAGGTGCGAACCACGTCAGGCACCTCGGACGGAGGCGGCGCCGGGGCCGATCCGGAGGGCGAATCATCGAGCACCGGCGTCGGGCCTCCTGGTAACCGGAGGAACGTTAGCACGGTACCTCAGCGCTTCAGATACATTGTTCTTTCCTTTCTAGATGTTAGCTCAAAAATGCGTTACTTTGCTTTCCGGACTGAACTTAACGACAGTTAAATGAGTTCGCAATATATTAGATACCCAGACGGGTTGCGAGGCAGTCATTCATCATCACCGTTATCATCATCGATGGTTAACGGCGGCTTGACGCCCCCCGTCGGCTCTGAAGTCGGGCAGCGTCATCTGTCTCATCGCGCCTTTAGGTGGTCGCGTCGGAAGACTTGCGGTTAGCGCCGACACGCGTTGACATGGGGGCGCCGACATCGACCCTCAGAACCATGCTGACCACCGAATACCAGTCAACTGGGGATTACAAAGCCTGCCACCCTGTTATACCCCAGACATTGCGAGTGTTGGTAGATAGGGTGGAAAAACTTCTAATTTGCTGGATATGATCGGTGACAAAAACTGACACCTTTGCAAACCAGTTGATGACAAAATTGCGAAAATGAAAACGAATTGCAACAGATAAAATCATACTACAACACATCACCCCAGCTCGACAAAACGAAAAGTTTACTATTGGTCTGTACTTGCTAACGCCTGCAGCGTGGGTGCATGTCGAAACGATGACGTTTCGCTGTATGAGCAAGTGTAGGCATAAAATGCTGCCAAACAAAGAAGCTTTGATCAGGATAGTTTTTAGCCGGTGGTAGAAACGTACTACAAACTATACTATATCAGTGCTGACCTCACAGATAAGTAATAACACAATGTTTTCTTTTTCAATGCCCCGCAGATCGGCGCTTTTCAGATTTTTTGGCCAAGGTTCACTTCACATACTAAACGGTATGAAATACCAAATAACTAGGCTTATTATTGGTGGTAAGAATGCTACTGGCCACAGCATCTTGCAACAAACGTGATCAGTTTGCTACGTAGCGTTTTAGAGCGTTGTGTCATTTGAGACAGCTTTGATTTGATTTGTTTGAGAGTTTGATTGCTCGGTACGCGCAGCTCTACGTCATCCCTGTGTACCGCAATAGCTTTATTTTTTGCAGTGCCAAATGCGTGGCGCGGAAGAGACAAAATGATTTCACTAACCTTGACTCAGGTCAGCGCGCGCCGTTTGGTTGTTCCCAGCAGGGGGCCATCATCACAGCTTGAGAAATTGGTCGGGCGGGCGGCTCCTTAACGTTAGGCGGCGACGTCACAAAGACGCATTGGCTTGAGCAGCGGCGTTGCATGGCAACGTCGACTGCGTCGCTTGGAAGGCAGTCGTCACGCATAAATGCTGTGGTCGGTCTTGTCTATTATCGTGCAGCGTGGCGTCAAGCTTGTAGTATGTGGCCTCGGTGCGTGCTGTTATGTCGCGGGTGGCAGAAATTCGAAGTGGTGTGCGAGCATTGGGCAAGAGTAAGCATCAAAGGCGGTTTTTTGGCAGCAAGATGCCATCCTGCGATGCAGCGTCTTGCAAGAATGTCAAACGGCGCAACGAAGGCACTTAAGTTTTTCACACTTCTAAAAATCGATCTAATTATCGTGAAAACATGAGTACACCGTTGCTCTTTGACTAACTATAAATGTGGAGAATGCGGTAATCATTTCAATATTATGACTGATCCTGGTCATCTGGTTAAGACCAGTCCCAGACCCAATGTTAAATGCCTTCCACCAAGTGCAGTTCCTTCCAAGCAACTGGACATCGCCGGCACGCCGAAGTGAGTACGTGTGTGCTTAAAAAGGAAAGTTACCGCCTGTTTTACGCAGAGATCTTTCAACCCGATTCACAGTTTAGTGCATGCACAATCCATGCCGCTTTGTGCAGTATGTAGACTACAGTACGAGATTCAAACGAGACTTTCCAACCATAATCTTGTTTACAAAGTGGGGCCTGACTACCACACAGGGCTCGGAGGGCCGCGCTGTTTTCGTGTATTTTTGCGTCGAAAAACAGTAATGGCGGCGCCACCCCCCTGGGTAGCTGATACACTGAACTGAGACCATGAAACGGAACCATTCAGACAAATCCGTGGCTATGACCAGGAGGGGTAGATATGAGAATGGTGCACGCAGTGCAGTACTCGTCGGCCGTTGACCGTCCCTCTTACCCGCCCGGATTGTCACGCTGGACCACAAAAAATAGTTGTGTATGAAAACAAGTATGCGATAACCAAAAAGGGCATGTCCAGGTCCAACATGTTTTGCTGTTGCAATGAAAAACAACACTGGCGACTTGTAGTACGGTCTGATTAATGCGCCTGCTAGGTACGTGGAAATGACCGTGTTTTGTTGTGTCGCAGATCTAAGATCCAGCTGCAGTGGAAGTCGCATGGCATGCGGACAAGATGGAAGCCGCCTACCAGCAAACAGTCGTGAGGCGTCCAGTGCCCGCCCTGAACGAGTTCGGCGAGGACGACGGGGTCAACGAGTCGGGCGAAGACAAGCTACATGGCGGTGACGGCGAGAGGACCGAAAATGGCCCCCGCCGCGGCGACGAGATGGACGAGGTCAACATCCAGCACGGGGCGCTGACCCTCGTTGCCGCCTTCGTGGCGGTCAGGTGCAAACACCTCCATCCATGTATGGGACTGTCGACCCGAGAGGCACCACCCAGCTGTGTGCCAGACAGGTGGATACATACGATTAGCCAAAGTGGTCTGATGGGACCGTTGCCGGCCTGAACGAGCACTGTCGAGGCTTTCGAGATCGTGTTCCAGCTAGTGATGGGCCGAGGCATGAACTGAGATATTGGTAGCTGCGTGAAAGCCAAAATGCATCAGCTAACGGTATGTCGTGACTGGTAATTCACTGAATGTGTGACGTCACTGGTCATGAGTTTTTACGGGTCTTTTCTGGGCCGACCTAAGGCCATTAGGCATCAGATAGCGGTATGACGTCACTGGTATTCAATTAAGCATCAGGTGCTATCAGTCATGTTTCATCTTTACCTTTCGCACCTATCTACTGCAAATATTCGCGCGTCACATAAAGGCTCAGCCGAATCACCTGAGCGTGTGATGCAACTGGTCATCAGTTTACACGGTTTTACTCGGGCTTATTGAAGGACATCAAACAACATCTGACGATGTGACGTCACTGGTATCCAACTAAACGCCAGGCGCGGCAGGCCATGCTCGTCTTTACCTTTCGTACCTGTCTATTGTAGGCATTGGCGTGCTGAAGGAAGACTCTGTGAAGTCTCTTGAGTGTGTAACGTCACTGGTCATGAGTTTTTTTACGGGATGTTTTGAACCCCCCATAGGGTAAGACATCAGCTGACGATATGATGTCACTGGTTTTTGACTTAACCTCATGCGCAACAGGCCATGTTCCATCTTTGCTTTTCGTACCTGGCCACTGCAAGCATTCAAGTACTATATGAAGGCCGTGCCGATCCACCTGAGTATCCACCCACACTAAGGAGACTCAGCAGAGCCTTCATTCAGCTCGTCAACATTTGTAATAGACAGGAACGAAAGGTAAAGATAGAACATGGCCTGTTGCGCCTGATGTTAAGTCGGACACCAGTGACGTCATATCGTCAGCTGACGCATTATGTCGTATAGGGGCTTGAAACGAGCCCGTAAAAACTCTTGACCAGTGACGTTGCACACTCAGGAGACTCGACAGAGCCTTCATTCAGCACGCCAATGATTGTAATAGACAGGTGCGCAAGGTAAAGATGAAACATGGCCCGTTGCACTTGATCTGAACTCGAATACCAGTGACGTCATATCATCCCGTGATGCTTTACGGGATATGCTGTCTTGTGGCATTGGGCGGCCTAAGAGAATCCGCGCAAACTCATGACCAGTGACATCACACACTGAGATGATTTGGCATCACCTTGATATAGCACGCGAATGCTCCAGTAGACAGGTACGAAAGGCAAAGATCATGGCCTGTTGCGCTGCATATTTGGTATCATGCCGGTGACGTCATATTATCCGGTGATGCTTCGGGGATATCATGCCTTGTAGTCTGTGGTGGCCAAGTGAACCAGTATAAACTCATGACCAGTGACGTCACACACTGAGATGGTTCAGCGTCGTCTTGGTGTAGCACTCGAATGCTTGTAGTACACGGGTACGAAAAGTAAAGATAGAGCATGGCCTGTTGCGCATGATGTCTTGTCGAAACCCAGTGACATCATATCGTCAGCTGATGTCTTGTGGTCTATAGTGGGCTCAAAAGGGTACACAAATTAATGGTCAGTGACGTTACACACTCAGGCAATACGGCAGAGCCTTCCTTCAGAACGGCAATGCTTGCAATGGACAGGTACCAAAGGTAAAGGTGGAACATGGCCTGTCGCGCCCGAAGTTTATTCGAATACCAGTGACGTCACATCATCAGTTAATGCCGTATAACCTTTCTTCGGCCTAAAAGAGGCCGTAAAATCTCATGACCAGTGACATCACGCACAGTCGAATGCCAGTGACGTCACATTGTTAGCTGATGCTTTATGGTCTTCAGCTGGCCGCAAAAAATCCGCCCATACTTGCAGTAGACATATACGAAAAGTACAGATGGAGCATGGCGTTGCCTGATGTTCAGCCAAATACCAGTGACGTCATATCGCCAGGTGATGCCTTACGGCACTTCGTCGGTCATAAAGGGCCCGTGAAGACCCACGACCATTGAATTTCTTACAATCAGTCGCATAGCAGTGACGTCGTTAACTGACACCTTGTGGCCTTCAGTTGGCCCAAAAGCACTGGTGAAGCTCATGACCAGTGACGGCACACACTCAGGTGGTTCGGCAGCTTTCATCCAGCACGCCAATGCTTGCAGTAGACGGGTAGAAAGGTAAAAATAAGGCACGGCCTGTTGCGCCCAGTATTTATTCAAATACCAGTGACGTCGTGCTATCCGGTGATACTTCACGGACCATAACACAGCGTGGCCGTGGGGCCTAAGTGCACTCGTATGAATTAATGACTAGTGACGTCACACATTGAGGTGATTCGGTTCATTTATTTCACATTCGGTCAAACCTTTATGCGGCACACAAATGCTTGCAGCAGACGGGTACGGAAAGTAAAGATGGTACCAGGTCGGTCGCGCCTGATGTTTAATCGAATACCAGTGACGACACATCGCCATCACATGCCTTACGGCATTCAGTGGACCCGAAAGATCCATAAAACTCACGACCAGTGACGTCACATACCCAGTCGAATACCAGTGACATCACATCACTAGTACTACACTTATGAACTTCAGTCGGCCGGAAAGAACCCCGATCCCGATCGATGCAACCCATTTTCAGTGACGTCCTAATGTCAGCTGATGCCTTACAGCATTTCCCCAGCACGGCAGTGCACGAAACCCTGCAGCCAGCGTAGCTCTTCCCTCCGTCGGCCGTACAGGTACCAAAGTAAAAAAAGTACTGTCATCTTTGTGGTAATGCCGTTAAAAAGACCTCCCGATCTAGGGTTATTGCAGGGACGTCAATTTTTGTAAACTATGGGGAGGGGCGAAACCGAAGACTCGGCAACTTACTCCCCCTTTACATTTTTTTCTCACCGTATTTCGACCATCTGATTTTGATTAAACGCAGTATGTTTTAATCCTTGTATACTTTATAAAAGTCTTTGATTTAAGCAGTGTAGAAGCCACGCAAAGGTCAAGGTGTACTTTCCTACCTAACGTTAGAAAAAATCATTGTACACCATTCGTCGTGTTTGAGGCAGGACATATCGTAAATAATCACAAAACAGGTAGATTCATGCTCATACCTTCGAATTTTTTATAATTACCATGGCGAGCTGCCGAGCGCCGCACACACACAGCAGCCGTGGCACCGTCGCCATTACTGCGCGTGGTCACAACATTATTGCGCATCACGCAGCATCAGGAACCATAAAAATGTACCCGGCCAATCTAACAAGAATCCATGAAATTTGATTCTCGACGCCAACGGGACGCTGGGTTGCAGGGGGATTGGGTGGGGAATGTTAAGCAAAATGAGAACATGGCGGCCAAATAAAAGTTCACTATACGGTGCCCATATATGGCATGGAACATGGACGCCAATGGGATGCTGGGTTGGAGGGCATATAGGGTGGGGAGGTTAGGTTTGGTAAGGTTAGGTTAGGTTAGGTTAGGTTAGGTTAGGCTAGGTTAGGTTAGGTTAGGTTAGGTTAGGTTAGGTTAGGTTAGGCTAGCTAAGCTTAGGTTCTGGTCTATTCTCGGTTAGGATAGGTTAGGTTAGGTTAGGTTAGGCTAGGTTGGCTTAAGTTCTGGTCCATTCTCAGTTATGTTAGGTTAGGTTAGGTTAGGTTGGGTTAGCTTAACTTAGCTTAGCTTAGCTTAGCTTAGCTTGGCTTCCGGTCTTTTACTTGATCGGCAAGTGAATGCGCCCCTTTGGAGACCACCTCAGGGGGCTGATGGCGTGCTTCTATAGCGGTCATGGGGGGCGCCAAACAGTTTTGTTCTGGGCGACGGGGACGGGGTTAGCCATGGAGGACTTAGGTCATCCCCGTATTCCAGAGTTTTTCACTGTAAACTCACAAACCATCACGTGTCCTATGGTGCTACGTATGCGAAGCTTATTGCATCGTTTACTCGCTCACCTGCTAGGATTGGTATTTTGTGGTGGGAACAGCCATGACTTTTTGTTATGATAGTGGAGAAAGAGTAGGCTACTACGGAGAAAAAGTAGGCACACCTTTCGTTATGATCATCTTCTAAGCACGCTCTTTCCAGTATTCCAGCCAAAAACATTTGGGGCCACGCTAACAGGGAGGGGGGGGCAACTCAGCATTCCGGGGGGGGGGGCAAGGCCCTCAAAACAAAAAAAAAATACAAACCGACACCTATGAGTTGTTGTTTGTGGATACCTGAGCTGTAGCTTCAGTGGTAAACGGAGGTCGTTGGAGCAACACACGTCAAGGATCCATCCGGGGCTTCCTGCTACTGAGAGGAACAGCGGCTTTGAGGTAAGAGGCTGAGCATCCCCCGCGTAGGCCTTTCGCATTGCCCGTTGCACCTCAGACTTAGCACACTGATCGGTAGACAGGGATAAAATAAAACCCATTTGGTTGTCATCATACTACATATAAAGCTGACTGAGGGTGCTAGAGGTATTCAAAAATGCCGTTTACATCCGTTGACACCGATATTGCATGGGTTTTGCTCCAAATAATTGGAATCACGTTACAAAGTGCGAGTTTTGACCGGCGATGATCATGCCAAGATAATGGAGGTCGCCAACTCTTTCAGCTGATTGTACGATGACGTCACAAAACGAAAAATGATATTGTTTCAGGTGTTTGAAAAACCATATTATCGATAAGTGCAGGGTTACAGGGATGCAGTTTTGCAAAGCACGTAGGGGTGAGAGACGCAGGGAGAAGGGCGGGGGTGCAGGAAGTAAAAATGTCTGAGCATGCCTCCGAGATGCGACAGAAATGTTTTTCTTCCCCAGATTTGTGGCTGGCAGCAGGAGTGTAGTCTCCCATCATTAATTTTTTGGATGCTGAACCCCTAATTTACGACAGATGAAAAATAATTGATGCTGATGAGAACTAGAAATAGGAAACTGCATCGCTGGTTAAGAATTACAATTTGCCCCCCCCCCCCCTCCCCCCCAACTGAACAGAAAACTAAACGCCTTTAGGCTGGTTATGTTAAGTATGCCTTTGTATGACGATTCTGCTAAGTCAGACGCAACCTTCATTCAGTGCTTGGTGGCCAAGAAGTGAAACTACAGTGCAAATGAGCTTCCCGGAACGAAAATGTTCGCTGGTTATGCCGCACTACAATTAATTTGTTTCTCCTTCTTGTGGTTTACTGCCTTTAGATGTATATTACGATGGTTTCTGAGGGATTTGATTCCAGGTGACAAGACGATTCAAAATTTCGTGGGTGACAGAAAGACACCTTTTCAGCCATGTTGGTAGATTTTAAAGCAATCTATCCTGCAGACGCATTTAAATAATCAGTTAACTACATAACCATCAACTACCCCGGATCGACTCCTCATCTCACTAAGCTGATGATAATTCGGAGCGGAGAAGAGTAATATAGGAGATAGCTCATATAGCATTGCCAGCTTCTGGTTCTGCAAAGTTTGAACGAGTTCACATCTAAAATTGGTGTGTTACCAGAGGCGTGTTGCACGACGGATCAAAAGATATCCAGGAATGAGCAGGCGCGCTCGTTCGATTCATCACGGAGATAAAAGGGACACCCTAAACGGCCTGCTCCTTCAGAGTGTGGTCACGCAGGTCCCCAACTTTGCAGACAACCAGAGGGCATGTTGGGTTAAGGGGTGCTGTCCGCCGGACGTGTCAGCCTGGTCTCTGGTTAGGATGAACCTGTCGTTGCTTTGCGGAGTGACTTGTCGAATAGCAGTGATTGTAGTGTCGGTGTCGGGTTGCGAGCAATGGCTTCGGAAGTGAAGTTCATCGCCCTGTACAGATACCCACCTGAGGAGAAGGCGATCGGCCGAAAATGTTCTTCAGGCAAGTAACGGCAGAGCCAGTAGTACCTAGTCCGCTGCCGGGAGCGGACGGTACAGGCACGAGTTTCCATTACTAGGTCAGAGAGCACCAGGAAGGAGTGAATCTGAAACGATAGATGATACAGACTAGCACACCTTCGAATTGGGCCACACTTCAGTGCAACGAATGTCACGGTGGGAGCAGGAATTAAAGAAACACAGCACAGATGAGTTCAAGTTTCTCACGCGGATGCCTGAAAAGAATACACTATACTTGCCCTCCAAAATTTGTCGCGTATCAGGTATCTGGCAATGCTGAAAACAAGGGCAAAGATCTGCGTAAATGATAGGGGGAGGGGAGGAAGTGCTGGCCAAGAGCCTGACAACCTTACTTCTCTCCATAGCTGTGTTTTTCAACCATTGCGCCCAGTTCGTTACGAAGAACGACAATTTTTAGTTACATTTTTTGCATCTAACACTGAAAAGCAAGGGCCATGCAATGTTGTCTTTGGATGGAAACAAGTCTTGTCCACGAAATAATGCGTGAAAAGGTAGGCTTGACCAATATCTAACCATATCTTCACCTTCAGTAATACCTCAGCGCAGTATATTGGGAGATCCATGTCTACAATGTCGGCTCAGACCCTCCTTTTGACTAAAATAGTGCAACAAATGAAAGAACTAAGTATCACACAGACTTATCTTTCCGAGCATTATTTGGTGCCCACAAGTGCGCCAAACATGCTGTTCACATTTACAGGAGACTGATAGCTAAAAACAATCTGAAAATAAAAATCGCTGTTGAATCGCCGTCGTCCAAGGCAGGTCCGTTCAGAAACAAACATTGTGTAGATGGTTAGGTGGCAAGCGTTCAGAATGGTTTCCCAGTCATTTACAAAACTAACGCCCCTGACCAAAAGCATGTGTACCTTTGGTGCGTAAAAAGGTAAGTTCTGGTGTGACTTTGCTTTGACCAAATAACCTTCAAGGTACATCATATTTTGAGCGTATGGTCTCATACCAATTGAGATGCCTGGACACCATTGACTTCCCAAGAAGGAAGCTCCTTCTGTGAGCGTGACATTATTATGCTACCAGCATGTGGCCAGGCGCTAGTTGGACAGCATGGCACAGTTTCAACGAGATCGGAAGGGTTAACACTGAGTCTATTATGTTCAACATGTAAATATTATATCAGCCTTGCCGACGTACATGCAAATATCATGGCTCTGTAGCAATATTTGTAGTGACTAACATGTGGTCCCACGGCCTACGGAACTAGTTTTACGGAACTTAAATGCATTTGAAGAACATAGGTTAGATGATTAAAGTTATGCTACGCTCTTCTGAAATGCCTTTCGACTTCGAAATCGGCAAAGTTTACAGAGCACATGCGACGATTATGAAAATAAGGCTCGAGGGAAAGCGTCATAAAAGCTGTGAATAAATGGCGATTAATGTTTGACCAAATCTAGCATTATTTCTTTGGCTGACGTGCCATATCATATCCACCAATAACAGGTTAGGCACACATGAGCCAGGGATTTAGCCATATGTTGGCATGTAAATGCCTGGAAAGAGATGTAGTGCTGGCTCTTCGCACGTCAAGGACGTAAAAAGTCATCGGCCGGCACGGCTCCGTTTGGCAATAGAACCAGCGACATGTGATCCAGAACAACTGAACCATGACGGCTGAATCAGGGACAGCTGAGCCAGTAAAACATAACCTAGTGACAGCTGGCTTAGTGATAACTTGCTCTGTGACAACTGACTCAGTGGCTTTCGAGCCAGTGGCAACTGACCCAGGGCAACGGCACCAGTGTCAACTATCCCTGTTCAACTAAACCAGAGACAAATGAACCAGGGACAACCGAACTAAGTACAATGAACCAGAGACAGCTGAACCGATGACGGGTAAACTGCGGACACTCTCTGGCCAGCATTTGGCAGCCCGTGGGTTCCACACCGCTAGCAATGCCAAACAGAGCTTGGCAGAGATTCTGAGACTCCCGACTGATGCCTTCACGGGAGCCGATCTGCAGTATGAGAGTACCACGTGGTTGGTCCTACTCGGCCAAGTGACGACAAAAGTCCTGAGGTTTTGCGGCGCACTGGCCCTTACCATTCTACGTCAATCTGAGACGAGGACGAGGGCAGCTCTTTCATGGCTTGAAGCGTCGCCCGCATCTCGATGACTGAATTGAGCACCACTTGGCCAACACCATTGTGACCAGTGCAACGACGCACCTATGTAAAAAGCTACCAATGACGAAAACAATGCAGAATTGCAGACCAAGCACAACGTTTGGCCCACGTTCGATTACGAGAGAGGCGAATGGGCATCTGGGCAGATCCACCACTGGGAACACTTGAGGACAATGTCTCCAGTGTTTTTTTAAGGATCGCGAAGGCTACTGGATACCGTTCCCAGTATTTCTATCCGTCCTTATAACGTGTCCCAGAAGGTCAAAGGATGCGTAGGTGGACGGACCAACTTGCTGCCTGATGCAAGTAGCGCAATCTGAAGGGTTGGATAAATGAAAATTAACGTGAATCATGGGTTCAACCAGGGGGAGGAAGGACAGGGAGCCCGGATCGCACAGAATCGGGCTTTTATCACAACAGATGGCTTCTGACTGAACTTATTATGTAACAGAAATATGATTCCTAATCCGTCAGTCTTCAGAAGCTGGCGTAGAGCTCACCGGTGACATCATCGTTCGTGCAATGACCAATGGCGCAGATAGGATTTTCTTAGGGGAGGGAGCTGTCAGCTCGGCAAGACCTAATCACGCTGATTTTCAACTTCCGGTCAGAAACTATCCATGGTGCTCAAAGAAAAATGAGAGTCTAAGGGGGAGATATTCCCCCACCCCAGCACGCCAACGCAATTGCCATTTCGGATATTGTTCCGTGACGTCATAAGCACGGAACGGGCTGTCAACACATGCTGAGCCAATGAAAAAGAACTTGAAATGCATGCAGCCAGAACCGCAACCAAAAACACCTGTGCGCGAACACGAGCACCTGGAACGCACCTTTATGCTCTGGTGGTCCAGAAACAGCACAGCATAAAACGGCACTCCAAAATGACTGTCGACCGCTATGAGCTACCCGCTTGCCACTTTGTCGTTATCGTGCCACTTTGGCGTCATCATGTCATCATGCATTTAGTAACCCCTGCACTGCAACACCACCCGTGACCAGGGCAGGTGACGGATCTGCATGCTATTAGCCGTATCTGGCAGCCACCCGTGACTCGGGATTGCTGCTGCTGCTGTTGCTGCCGGGATTTGAGTCGGTTGTGAAGGCCGCCGCAAGGAATCCTGGTACACTACCACCTCGATACAGATAAAAGAAGTTCTCGCGGGCTAAGGCGACACAGTTGCGCGTCTCGATGACAAGGTCCGACAGCACCACGAATGAGTTGCTCTGAAATGTAACGGTCACAGGTGTGCCAGGTCAACACAGACACGACCATCGGGCATTACAGCGACATCCCATGACGCTGGCGATAGGACCCATGTGGAAAATATATGCAGGTCAAAAGTAAAATATTCTGTTTGCAATTGCAGTTTCTAAGGGCGGTCCGGCAGTTCGTGACAGGGGTGTCGTTTTGTGTGAATGCTTAAGCGCAGCCGAGCAAAGGGAACGAGAGTCTAAGCCCCAAATTTAGAAGTTATGTATTTATGTACGTGTTGTGATATGCATATACTAGTGCATATGCATGTGACCGTACAAATCTGCATATACATATGCATAAATGAAGGTATAGTTGGCTACAAATCAAAGTATAATTGACCTTCATCAGTCAATTATCTCATCATTTTCTCAGCAAGCTCATACCGCCGCATTAAACATTTAGCTTCGTTAAGTAAATCAAAGGTGAGAATTTCCTAGAATGGTCACGTATATTATAATTATATCAACTAAGCCCATTAAGTTCAGATGCAGTGTTTCAGAGATCTATTGTCTATCCTCAGTTAAAGCGCACGGCTGGTCAGGATTGCAAACAAGATTGGACGGAGAAGAACGATGTAGTTTTGCACGTAAAACCCTTTCGGAGTATCAGTATAAGAAGGGTATGTCAAGATATCACGGACGGGTGATATATGAGGAACTGGGAAGCAGGTCGCACGTCGCATGGCAAAGGCAACACAGTATGTCAACTGTTTGTTAATGGTTGGATGGCTTCCTCTGATATATCGAATAACCCCAGTATGGAAAGCCGGCGGCGGCAATTAAAAGAAGGCAGCCCTGAGGTGGTTGCTGCCAGACTTTGTCGCGTTTGATCTTATTGGTGTGTTTCCGGGAAGGGAAAGTTGGGGGCACCACAGTTGTCGGTTTGCTTTTTTTGGGTGGGACACTGGCCGCCCAATGCTCAGTCTGCCCCCCCCCCCCCCCCCCCCCACCCCTCAACGGTGAGTTTGGCCCTCCAACCCTTTGGGGCCCAAGCTCATATAGAATGTAACGAAAAAGCGCCCGAAACTACATAAAGTTCAAGAAAGGCTTCCACTAATTTTTCACAGGTAAAGAGCCGAAGAAAATGAAATATACGAGGTCATGTCAAGTTTAGGGCATCTGACTGAGTTAGTCACGGCGTTATAGCTCCGCAGTCGTTCCGTGTTTACTTGTGTTTATTCTTCTGTTTTTTCCAGTATGCCGCATGTTTTAAAGTACACGATTTATATCTTTGGCTGACTGTGTTCTAGTTTTTTCTGCTGTGGGAGCGTTTGGCATTTTTCAGCTATGTTTAAGTTATACATATCGCAGCGAGTTATGACGCTTTGCTACGACGCCTTACCGGAAAGTGAAAACAAGGCGTTACAAAGTTATTGGCCGTCTATATTCGGAGGAACCCTTGAAAGGTGTCGACCTCCACTTCAGCATGAATATTTGATGAAACGGTTGAAGAACCTGACGGTCGACAACAGCCGACTAAACCGACAGCGGTAATCGTCCGACCATGACCACCAGCACAAGCTGTGTCGAACACGCCCAATGGCCTCTGCACTCCGCCTTGCGACAATCGGCGGGGAGTTCCATGACAGACATTATTAGCCGCGCAACTCAACTTACGCTCTTTGCTCCCGAAGCCGTTCACGTCTAGCAACGTCTGAAGCCA